CTTTTACCGTGCAAGAGCTTCCATACATGCAATAGCCAGCTGCCAACATATTCTTCCCAGGTTGCAGCACATCATCTAGAGTTGGCTGGTGGCTATCTTTCAACATGTAAATCCCAAAAATCTAGATGAAAGAGAACACACCCAGTTGATTACTTCAAAATTAGTTCTCTTGGAACACTAATTACTTCAGAAAATTTTGGTACAGCACTATATGAAACATTAGTTGGGACAAGCGACCATACCGTTCCAATTGAAACTCCACAGTCAATGTTAGAGGAACCATCCAGTGGATCAAAAACAACACAGTATCTGCATAACAAAGACAAGATTAAATGGAAAGTGATTAAGAAAAATCTAAAATCTACATTTAAAAATTTTTTCAAAACATAATAGGGGTTGATAATCATAATAAACAGAGAACAAATGAACACACCTTCCACGCTTGGAGGGCTCCACAAATGTTGCCTCTTCATCTTCTTCTGAGACAAGGATGCTCTGTAGAAGATCCAAACTATTAAGAAAAAACTGTAATGTCTCTGGCTTTATCAAATTCAAGCTCATTCAACTACTTACCGTTCGACCACTGCTCACTAAAGCCTTGATAAAAACATCATTTGAAAGCACGTCTAGTTTCTTTTGCTCCTCACCCTTCACTCAAAATAAGGACATAACCTTGGCATGTCATAAAACAGAGGAACTAATGCCATTGTTAGAATATAGAAAGGTAGATCCTTCAATCAACTACTTGCCTGAATATTAGTCTCACCAGCAAGTCCAACTAGCTTGGCAAGACCAGCCTGCGTGAGTAAGCAGTAATAGTCATTAACTTCAAAACTTTGATTGAGTACTCACTAATTTCAAAACTTTGATTCCGGGTCCTAGTCAGTTTTCAAATCCCCAAAACACAAACTTCACGAAACCACCCACCAACCATTACGAACGAGAAAAATAAGAGAAACCCAATAGCAAGAAAGTACCTTGTTAACAGCAGAGCAAACAAACTTGCAACCAAGAACAATGTGATTGAGCAAGATAGTGAAATCCCCACGAGACTCCGAGTGCTTGGATTGCTCGTTCAGCACAAACCGGGTTATTGTCATCAAATCAGTCCGGTGAGCATCCGCCGCGTGATCCATCTCTCCCCAAACCCAAGAAGGAAAATGACCCAGAAAAACAGAGTATGCAAGAACCCAACACGCGAAACAAGAATAGAGTGGAGTGGATAAATAAAGGGATTATTGGGGGGTTTGCTGCGTTCGAGACTGAGGAGCGGATAAAGTGTGGCAGATGGTGGTGAGGGAGGGTTTATCTGGTCAGAAGATGGAAAGTTCGTGGGGACACGTGGCGGGAAGTGAGTGAGAGTCGGAGGGAGTGGTCTATCAATCGTTACTGAGGATAACGAGTTAACGTAATTTGTTGGGGTTGGGATTTCCATGGTCATGGGGACTTTGTCAGCGTTGTTGAAGACGACGAAGTTGTGGTGGGAACTTCCAGGCACTGACTTTTCAATCATTCCTTGTGTTTTTTATAACGAATTATACAAAAAGGAGAGTTATATAGGG